CGTTGCAACTTATTTCTTTCAGAATATAGCAAGAATGGAATTTCTTTGTAGATTTCTAGCATCGTGGGAGGGCATGAATGTTATTTACCTCGTCATGGTGTCTCGAGTTGCATTTTATTTTTCGAGAAACCACTCTCGTTACTGACCTTGGCCAACACGGCCATTACGCCATCCGTAACGTTGATGTAATTACAGACATAACGAGCTTCCTGTGCATCTCGATGATATTCGAATTGCACCGGTGCATCCTTACAAAAAGCTTCAGGGAACACTTTCCATCCAGCAGTGACGTCGATACTAAACAGTCGATGAATAAAGCATTTCTACCCATTATCCATGATTACGTTTACTCAAAACCAAAAACAAATTTTTAAGAAAAATCGACAGGAGACTGAAATTTTTCGACGAAATTAAACGATTTCAAATCATACTAAAAAAATTATGTTTAGTTGCGTGAGTTGATTGCAATCATTTTTAGTCATTACACATACCCTCGAAATCCTACGCATTTTCAAAAAAAAAATTCGAGTAGATGCTAAAAATTTCGGCGAAATTGAAAAATTTCTAATCGTTCTAAAAAAATTATTTGCAGTTGCAGGGGTCAGTTCTAATCATTTTTGTTCAATACATATACCCCCGAAATCTTGCGCATTCTTGAGAAAAAAATTCGAGAAGATGCTAAGAATTTCGGCGAAATTGAAAAATTTCTAATCGTTCTAAAAAAATTATTTTCAGTTTCAGGAGTCAATTACAATCATTTTTGGTCAATACATGTACCCTCGAAATCCTACGCATTTTCGAGAAAAAAATTCGAGTAGGAGCTAAAAATTTCGGCGAAATTAAAAGATTTCTAATCGTTCTAAAAAAATTGTTTGCAGTTTCAGAAGTCAATTACAATCATTTTTTGTTAATACATATGCCCTCGAAATCCTACGCATTTTCTAGAAAAAAATTCGAGTAGGTGCTAAATATTTCTAATTTTTCTAAAAAAGTTATTTTCAGTTTCAGAAGTCATGATGATGAGTGAGCATCCTGATGATTGTGAAACTTGACATTAAGAACTCGTATTTATTTCAACATTATAATATTCTCCAAGCTAACAACATAACAGGAAGTTTTGTGTCTCTTCTTATGAACTTTGAGGGGTAGCTTACGTAAACGTTAAGTAAAATAATTCACTTGAGATTGAGAGTCCACTTGAGGGTTAAGAACGCTATAAAATGGCAATTACGCCATCGAGCTATCGAATATGTCTTCGTACCAAGGTGAAACTTGTGGGAAAAGTGAAAACTGGGCTCCCCAACGATGTTCCGTCAAGGTCTCTAATTATTCGCGTTTGAACTTTTTTTTTTTCTCGCAAAGAACGCCTTCTTTCCGCTTCCAAGCAAGAATAGTCCCCATAAAAACTAAAAACTTTCGAAAACAGGGGTCGGGGGAGCAAGCCATCCTTCCCCGTTTCCCATTGTTTTCCACGCGGCGGTGCGTGCGCCGAGCACGCGTGCTTGCGTGACGATGGGCGTGCGTGTGAACACACGCGCTCTCCCACCCCTCTGTAGGCCAATCCCCACCCCCGAACCGGCGGGTCTCTCTCTCTACGGAGCGTGTGCCAACGGTAATGTTTGCAGTCACAAGTTGGAAAGTTTTGTGATGGCAACCCCGAACGGTCAGTTACCCTGGTAACGCTTTGTTGTGCCATTGTGTCGAACGGTAGATCCACCCTACCCCACCGATCCCACCCCCGACCCGTTTCACCCCTCCTCCCCCTTAAACGAACGGTCACCCTACCTGGATTCTCGACCCAACTCGGCTTGACCTAGCTCAAACCGTCTTTTCAACTCCCGCGCGTCCCCTCCACCTCCTCTGGATCATCCATGACAAAATGACGGGGTTGCATTTACCCTGGAGCGATCCTGTGGTTCCTCGAATTATGAATGGGTTAGGTTTGCCCAATGTAAGATACGGAAGCAGAGGAACTCGAGAAAACGAAGGAGGATCATGTGGAAAGCAGTGGAGAATATTGTACCTGTTACGATGAGCTAGCGAAAGTGGAAAGTATGGTAGCGATTGGGCACACCATAGACAGTGAAAGTGCTGGTAGGGAAAACGAAGGGCCAAGGAAACGATTAGGGACAATGAAACTGGCGAAGAAGCTACGGAGCAAAAAAGATGACGAAAGTGGAAGGGGATTACTAAACCCTTTCAAAATTATAAAGTAAAATTTAATTAACGTACAAATTTAGTTACAGTTATTCAAATCTGGTATTTTAAATTAGGGTTGAAATATTTCTTTCTCGCCCTTTCAAATTGTAAAACGTCTTCCTACTTTATTGACCCCCACAAGTTTAAACTAATATTGTATAATATTTGTCAAAGTAATTATTTGAAAATTTGTGCGTTCATTATTTTTTAAATGCTTTAAAGTAAAATTTGGTAAAAATCAACATCAACTAAAATAATTCAGTTGAGATTGAGAGTCTCATTCGAGGGTTAAATATTGAGCATTGAATGGAGAGAATAATATCTAGCTGCCAAGGTGTTCCAGAATTCTAAGCACGATCGTCTATTATATTTGTAACAAGTTAGCCATTGTGCCTAGGAAAACTATTTTCACACAATGGCCTTCCAACGACTTGACTCCGTGCTTGTATCATCGACCCTCTTAATTACGTAATTGGATGGATCGGGATCTATTCTTCATTCGCGTAGACTTTCGAGCCAGGTAAGAGCGAACGAATTCAAATTAATTGCCTCGAAACCATACGAGTGAGAATTGAATAGCACAATGAAACGTCCGACAACGTAATTAACGATTTAATTGCAACGCGTAGTTATCGTTAGAAGGAAATAAATCGCGAATTAGAGTCGAAGTTCACGGCGAGACGATCGGAAGATACGGATACACCGCCGAAGGACAAAGAAATCATTAATACGAGTGAGATAGTCCGATAATGAACAGACTTCGAATCATAGAAATTACGAACGCTGGATCGAGCTGCTTAATGGCCATTCGCCATAGTCTGGCTATTCCCTGTTGCGTCCTGAAACAGTCTGGACCAATTAATTGATGGAAATTCACAATATTAATATCCTCGATCACAAATCGCCGAATTGTTCCTCGCTTTTAATATCGACGAGTTCAAAGAAATTACCAACTTCTGTAAAAATTGGATTCATTATTATTTTAATCAATAAAGTAGTAAAAATGTAGAATATCATTATTAACGTTTCAATAATAACTTATTAATTCAATGATATTTTGATATTATAATATCATCTGAACAACTTTAACGGAGAACATTTTCCACGTCGAAATATATTCGTAAATATGTATGCAGATTAAAACCATTAACTATAACTTACGAACCATATCAGTTCGCTCGTAATCTGTAACTATTCCAAGGGATACACGAAGAAATCATACAATCGTCCTAATAACAAAAATAGAATATTGTTGATTGGTCCAAAATTCATTTATTCAATTACAAATTAATATTTATGATTCGATGTTATAATATCAATTGGAATTTTAGTTTACATAAAACATTTCGTGGCTAATCCACACCTGACAAGATTAAAATGATAAGTACATTATGAAAAATATTCTTCGTTATTGAACTACCGCCACTAACATATTAATACAAAGAAATGTTTAAGTTATCCACGTTTTTGGAAGATCCAAGACGATTTTACTGGTCGCGCCCCCTGCTATGGAAAACACTGAACTAAATTTCGTTTGCACATACTGTACATGTGTAACCGAGCCTAACTGGTATATCTTCAACCTTGAACCGAACGAATTTCCATCAGAAACTTTCCCTGTACAACCATGATATAAACAGACTCGTGTCGCAACTCAGGGTCACGTTCGTTAACACGTAAAAACACTAATTCTCGACCTCAACGAACAACGTCGCCCTCGTCTCGCGAGGGAACTGTATTTCGTCGCAAAATTTGATTATATACCATACAAATTGTATAACCACAGTTACGTGCAATAAATCGATCGCTTCGACCGCGCACTGAAACATTATCGTATCAGAAAAGTTACCTTGAGACACTATTTCATCATGGCTCACATACCGCTTAACGACAATGTGAAATATTCTATCGAGCAGAGCGTACAGAAAAACTATTATGCAAGTTAACACGTGATAGTTGACTATTGTGTCATTTGTTACGGAACATTTTTTTTTTCACATATTTGTACGTCCTGCAACAAATAACAAATTAGATAACGAATAACCACCGAAAGCACGCTAAAGATTAATTTACGAAGATTCGTATTGCCGATCGAAACGAGCGTCAGCTATTAACGGTTATTCGATAATATTAACCTAAATTGAAACGCGTCAATGTCATTATTAATGCAGTACGAGGAACGTAGATACGTGCGGTGTAAACCGGCCAGCGCGGTATGTAGATCCAGCTCTTATCAAGAGCAAGATAAAAGCTTATAAAAATATCGGTGAGTCGGTTTCGTTCCGTTCCGTACGGTTGGTTTGTCGGTTTGCACGATGCTGTACGGCGGAAAAATTGATCGACCAAAACCGGTGCAAAGATGCCGCATGCACGCACGTTGACGCGGACACGAAAAGCGAAAAATTTTGTACGGGGGACTCGAGCCTCGTCGCATGGCCGAAATTATTGACGGAGATGCACGACGTAGTATCGTCGCTAGAAAAATAGCGGACTCGTTATCGTGCTCGACGTATAACCTCAACGAGCCCGTCGACACTTTGGAACCGACTATTGTTGCTATGTAATCGTCGAGAGAATAAAATGTTGCTAAAACTTGAGGGGAAAATGAGCCGAATGATTGGCACACGGCTTGACCACGCGCACGAAAGAGGGCTGACTCGACGCGCGAGGGTCAGAAACTAACCCCCAAAAAATGTCGTCCCACCGGGACAAACCACTTTGCCGGCGTAATCGTACGAAGTATGTGAAATGCACGAATCGCGTTCGAATCGCGTTGTAATACGATATGATTTTCGACTTACCCAATGTGCAAAAGGATTCCAGAACTTGGTAAACCGGATCAATTCTCACTCACTAACACGAAACTTTACAGCAATCACGATACAATGGCGAACAGCGGGTGCGTATCGGAGATTGAGCTAACGCTCTCGCCATCTACCGACCTTTACGGCAGGTTGCCGGTACAAAGAGCTCGCGCGATTGGTCGGCCTCGACCAATGAGGAAATGGCGCCCATTTACGCGGGAATGATTTGGCGCGTTGGCAGCCATGTTAGTTACTCGTTCGAAACGTACTTTAGTCGTGTTCTGTAACACAAAAGAAAATGGATTACGAAAATGCAATCGATAAGTCCGAAAAGGAGATCGATACTAAATCCGAAACTGGTATTACGCGTAGAAAATTCATTTTTACTTCCTCCCTGCGATAAATATTGATGCTATGAATAATTATATATTAACGAAAAAATGCAATGTTTTTTTACGCAGTATCGAGGTGTGACGACATGCCACGAACCTCGAATTCGTACAAATTGTATGAGATGGATAAAGAAATAGGGCATTTCAAAACTAAATTAATTGAATATCGTAAACAATCCGAGTCCACCGAGACTGAAATACTGAACGTGAATCAGTTACAAGATAAAGGATTATTTATATTGAAAGATATGGAAAGAAAATACAAACAAATCGAGGAGGAAATGAACGAAATCCATTGTGAATATCTAAAATGCGTTAACAATGTAAAGTGTTATGAAGAAACAGTTCATCGAAATGTCAATTCTTTAACATTGAAAAGAGACAACTTAAAAACAGAACTGGCAAACTTAAATAAAGTTGCAAATGAAAATAAGAAGAAATTGATGGATATAAAGAAGATGATCGAAATTCAAGAAGTACGCACATATTTCAAAGTTTGTATTATTTTAACACGCCGAATTCAAGATCTTATTTTCAGAAAAAAAACATTGCATTGTTACGAAAATTGAAAAAAACGGAAGAAAGGACGAACATACCACAAGATTTGAAGGAAAAAGTGAATGAAGTTCTGTCTGATCCCAGAGGTACTAAAATAAATATTTCTAATTAAACTATGAAGAATATGGTACAATAATAACACTTATTTACTAAAATTAACTCGCTAATTAAACGGAACAGTAATTAAAAGAATGGCCCAGGTGTCAACACTTGTAACTATGAAGCTCTTATTTTAATACTTATATACATTTTCATTTCAATCTATAAAATCCATTATTGGCGCTTAATATTAAATAAAATCTTAATTAAATACTAAATATAATTTCATTTCAGGACACTTTTTTCTATGTACATTCCAAATTTTTATCATTTCTGTACAAAGTATTTTGAATATTTAAATATATTCCGTCTTCTTATAAACAGTCACAATTTTTATATAGTATATCTTATTTATGGTCTAGCATCTTTATACACTTCTCTAACTGTTCTAGTCTGTTTTGTAATAACATTATCGTAATTGGTGAACTATTTAAAGACTGTGTTATACTGTCGCGTAGAGCAAATATTTTCAATCTCTTTTTCGCAACAATCTCCATTAAACGTGTATTTTCCTCTTCGATTTCATTTACTTGTTTCGCTAATTGATCGCTCGCATCTTGGATCTCCTTCGCGTCCAAAGATCGTAAATGCAAAGTTACATTCCCTGGCGGTCTCCTGAAACAATGCATTGAATATCAAAATAAAGTATTACCAAATATTGATCGATATTTCGACTCACCAAGCGTCCTCGTGTACGGACGAATTTGCATCGGACAACATAGCAACTTTTTCCAACAACTCCCGCAAATTACCTTCCTCCAATACGTTTTTCAAATCTTCGATCATGGAATCGTGAAGTTCCTTGATCATGGCTTCGTGCAATTTTTGGGCAACGTTTGGTTTCGATTTTAACAGGGTGAGAATGTCAAGAAACTCGCCTGTACTGAAAGAAAAATTTAAGGAACGATGGAAATATTTTTTAAAACATGGAGGTATAACCTCTCGTTCATTTCGTATATTTTATTTCATAAGCGAATTCATTGATGGGAGATCGATGCACGACGAACAAAAACGTGTCTAGTACCTATATGCTGTTGCGTGCGCAGTAAGTCGAGCGAAAAACGATTCTTTTATACGAACACTAGATCGGATAAATATGTGCTTCCGTGAACGACACAGATTCAATGATCGGCTGTGCCTGTGGTGGCTCTGCTATCGCCGGAATTAAATTTTTCTTTGTTTACTGCACACAAAGTCCTGGCGCGACTGAATGGGGAGAACCAGTATCCAAGCAACCCAATCCAGTTATATAGTATTATAATAAGCATACAATGGCAAGTCGTAATCGTGTTGCACAATATCCGGAATTTTTGTTCGTGCATTGAACACGATTAGTAAGCATTAGCAGCATCTTCTCGTGGTCGTGAATAGATTAGAAAATAAACAATTTTTATTCATTGGCGTACAAAATGTTCCTTAACGCTATTATACAAGTACGGTGAGGCACAGAGTTATACATTAGGCTCGTATAAATTACACAATGATGCAATACCGTGCATTAACATTCTGTGTATATCGCTAGTGTACTGTACATCATAGTTCTCGTGGGAAGCGCATGAAATTATGAGGATAGAGCCACACCTTTGATTCTTCTTCCGTCGTTTCACGCGCACTCAATCAGGCCGGGACTGGTGCAATTTGATATTGATGCTACATATTTGCATTAGTCCAGACCTAGTTGAGTATGCTTCGTCCATTTCCATTTCCGATGCGTTCCGATTCGACCGAGATTTCCTATGAGAATGAGAGATAAATTTTCATCCGCTGACACACGAACGCTAACTCCCGGCCCCGTGAATACAGCACGAAAAAAATACTACCGAGTAATTTACGCTGTTTTCGACGAGAAATACAAAACAAAAAAAACGGTAATAAGATCTTCGAAGAAACACGAGTTAAATGTAAATAGTACGTAGTCGGTTGACGCGACGCGACGTCCGTTTAAGCGTGTTCCGTTAGTCATTAAATTATTCTAACGTGAGAATAACGGAGAGCAGAAGCACGCGCGATCCCTGCGACACGCACTGCACGAATGATGTGGCCAGCCGAACGATGGTGACCACGCCATGGGCCCTTTGTTTCCTCGAACACTTCGTGGAATTCCTTGAAGGTCAACTGGTGTGTTGGGTTTCAAAGACCGACAGTTTCTGGGAAGCGGAAACTAAAGGGAACCGATTCCGGGGATCGACTGCGAGTCACGCTGATAGAACACGACCGAACGATTAGCAATTGCTCGGCCACGTGAACACAAACAAATTAACATGCGAGTCACAGAGGCCAATGACATCGAATAACACCGTCGTACGTTGGGGTCATTAATGACCCCAAATCCCTCGCCTCGTGGCGTTTTACCGCCAACAAACAAGGTATCCAAACGTATTACAACAGCATTTCAAACGGCCCCGCTATACGTATCGTGCCCGTGCTCCCTTGGGCTTTCATTCTTAATTAAAGCAGCATTCTTGACCGCAGCCCGTACTTGACACACTTTACATTGGCAGTACTGTTATTGTGCGAACGTACGCAAACATAACATAACCTGAAACTTGGCCGCGTCCTGGCCAAAGCGGACGAATATTTGGCAACTAACAAAGCGTGCAAGTTTCATTCATGTTACTAGCATTGATTCCCAATGACTCTTCTTATTTGTTTCAGAATCATCCTAACAGTCTTTTATATATCCGCTGTATTTTAGCTTAACTTCCATTCGCTGCCAAAGACGAGTATACTCGTGTTTGATTCTATGCATGTAAATGATTATGTATGATAATACATGTGCTTTTACCAAAAAATAACAGATAAATGGCAATGGGAATAGCTTCATATAATAATAATATAGGCTTGGCAGCGAATGGGTTAATCAATCGAGAACTTTTATTTACAGATTATATGAAAAATTTATTCTTTCCGTTATTTCTTCAAACTACACAATTAAAATTTATTGACATTGTTATCGATAAAGAAATTTACGTATTACATTCACAACCAGGGTTTATTATATTCAAGTTATTCATTGTTTAGTATTTTCTAAATAAATCGTCATTGGATTTACAATGTTTATACAATCAACACATTCTACGCATTTTGTAAAAACTAAATCTAACTATCTAATGTATTTTGTTTGTATATTAGGTTAAGAATTTATAATTAAGAAGTTTTAAGTAACGCACAACATTAGAGAATTAAGTTTGCATATTAATTTATCACGCATGCGTTTACCGTGTCCAAAAGAACCGCGAGCGCCAGCAACATATATGACAGTTTTCATAACCTATAAAAATAGCTTCTTTACATAAGTTTCCCGAGCGCAATGTTAAAAATAATGTTTCATATAAATTAAGACATGCTGCTTCAACAAGTATTGAGATTTACGTATGTACAAAATAACGCTACTCACCTTACAGACTCCGCGATGTTTTTGAGATGATTTGAAATGGCGAGCCGAAATAGAAGAACATTGTTTAAATACTTGTGCTCTTGATCCTCCTCCATTTCCGACTGAGCTATACGTAATTACTGAATTCTCGAATTTCGGTAACCGAATACTTCAACGAAAACTGGTGATAACGGTTCTTGCATTCTATACGTATACCGGACCTCCACCTTCGCGACTCCAAACTGTTGGGGTTGGGAACAAATCGAATTGCGTTCGAAAGTATGTCGGACAGTCGGAGCTTCGTGATAGTTCGAAACGCTCCCTGAAGATGGCGGGCCTATAACAAAATCGTTCGAATACAATACTACCAACCTTTTCCCGCGTATGACAGTACGTTGGACATCCTGTAATTCGAAACAAAAAAAGAAAACAAAGGGAAGCCAGCGTATGAAACATAAAAACTTATTGAATAGATCGTTTAGATTACAAGGCGAGTATAACGTTTGAAACGTTAAAAAAAAGATAGAGCGTTTAGATATTTTAGGAATGCATCTGTACTAGCAAAACGTAACGATGAACGGGTTGCTCAACCAAAGAGAAAACGATTTCACATGAACAAAATTAGCAGCAATGAAAAATTCGAATTAAAGATATTGTAGCTCGCAATACAAAACAGTCGCAACCGCTAGTCGCGCAATAATTTCTATCTAATTAACATTCTTCTCAGATTATGCAGAAACGCGCTACCTGTCTAAATTAATCACCTCTATCTTTATTAATTAGATGCAACCTCGCATCGATTTTAATTAGAATGTGTCTCTTGGAGTGAAATCTGCGAAGTTTTATAAAATCGTCATTACTTTACAACTCATAAACGCGTCACTGTTGTAATCCCGTCCTAAACTATCTCGAATCGTGTGGCGTGCACTGCGTACGAAACAGTAAGCGCGAATCTAAATCAATCTTTCAACATAGGTAATTAATCCTGCATCATAATGTCAAACCTGTCTTGTATCTGTTTAGAAATCTTAAGTGAGAACGATCAATCCTAAGACTACCACTAGACACCTGAGCTCGTAACAAGTCTATACAGGACCTCCGCTATTCTCGCACAGGTTTTTGAGATTATTCAATTTTCTCGTCTCTTATTTTCCGTGTTCATGGGCGAATTTATGTATTTTGATTTGGATAATATTGAAGCATATATCAATAAAATCTTGTAAGCGGGTATACCGGATTTTCATCGCGATCTTATATGTATAAACAAAAATTTTTAAACCGACATCCACGCGAACGAAACCGTGGGAAAAGCCAGTGAATAAATAAAGATTTATCTATCCGATCGAATAACTGTCGGTAATAAATTGTTATAAGTTAGTTTTATCGGTTGGTCCATTGTTCGAAGGACTCGAGTGATCTTCCCTTATATTCCGCCGACACTCAAGGCGAACAGGTCGAGTGTTCGATGGTAGTATGTGGACAGTTGGATTAGAAATTGGATCATCCACCTCTACGTAGCCCCGAGGCTACGGCTCCGAGCGTATTGCTTCGTTACACCACCCCTACCTCCGTTACGAGCGTTCTGCGCCATCAACTGCAAAGGTCACCGTTGACGGTGGAGAAGAGACGCGTTCGCTGTTACCGTGGATTCTCAAAGTAGCTCGCGTCGAGTTGAGCCTCCGATCCATTATGCAATCGGTCTGAACTATATTTTCTTTACCCGGCTCACCTAAGCCACGCAGGAGAGAAGGCACTCGAGACGCTACCGTGGGCACCCATTCACTCGCTCCTCTTCGCGAGGTGATCCTCTTAAATCGCGAAAACGTTCTCGTCGCGCGCGAGCCTCGATCGTATCGATCGCTATCGCCGTGCATCCCGGTTGGAAATATCGCGATACATTTTCAAATTCCACCCAGGCCGGTAGCATTCCATCGTGGGGGACCTTTGACAAAAGACTCTACCGACGACAATCTTATTTCCAACTCTATCCTTTCAAGAGCACGTGTACTCTTTACGAGATGGAACAATTTGCTCTCGCTCATTTATCGAAAACTAATAGTAGACTCCCTCTTGTCTGCATCGAAGCATAGATTGATAACGTTTTGTCATTATAGCAGCATTTACAGCAAGCAAATTTTGGAATCAAATCGTTCGATTAAAAAGTTTATAGTCTCGTCTCTTGTTTCTCATGATATGTGAATCCTAAATATAAATATAAAATATGGAAAAATATTGCAGAATATATGCAGTTGTCACAGTTATGGTTATTATATAAAACGATCGACAATTTTGTACATGAAACTAGCAAGGGCAGGGTACCACTTCGATTTAAAGTATCTTTCGTAAAATGATACGTTTGGAATATTAGCCAAGTTACATGATAGTTTTAAATGTATCTTGAAAATAATATTTCTGAAGTACATATGTATTCCATCATCTTACAAAAGATCGTTAAAATCAAAACGGTACAGGTCCTTCCTTCGTAAGTGTCAGTCATCTTGAAAACTAGCTCTAGGACGCAACGTTTTTCTCTTTTCTCACGCATTCTTATTGTTGGGAGTATTCCAAACTCTCACGACATTTTATTTTATTATTCCCATTGCACTAATTCAAAGAGATAACATGAGTATAACTATATATAACTTTAAAACGTTTAAGTAATGGAGCCAAGTATTTTTGCTTTAACAAAAGAATTTAGATTGAAGAAGCAAACAGAAATTACTGGTATCTTTGTTAATGTAAAATGGCAAAATAATTGAGTCAGGTTTTGCAATTATTAAGTTTGTTTACAGAACAGATATCGTTGAAACTCTAATTACTAAATTCTTTTGCGTTTACTGTACGAGTGCAATGCGCATGATTAATTACTTTTTGATTATCAATGAACACTATGTTCCAGAAAGTTTTTTATTTTAACGAACGTCTGTTAGATTCAGCGCGCCTACAAAAAGTTTACCTTTCTATCCGCGCACCTTTCGCCTCCGGATCATCATCTTTTAACCCTTAAACGACCACATGGAGCGTCCATTAGGAAATCCATCCTTATTATTTCATTAATAATACTTTCACTAAATTGAATCAATACCTGTCATTTAAAATAATTCTCCCTTTTAACCTCTTTAATCCTACGACATGATTACACGTTTATAAGTTATTTTCGATTGATTGAAATAAAGTAGTTTAGACCTGGAGGCAATCAAAGATCTCGCATATCGCTTCACACATTCAACGCGTTGCACGCTGAAACGATTCTTAATATTTCGTACTCCTCTTGTTTAGGTAATAAGTCTTCGGTTAAACAGACATTGAGAAATTTCGCGGGCAAATAAATGGTAGTTTGATGTTCAGCAAACCCAAAGAACCACAATATCATTGCCACATACGTGTAAGTAACAGCCCCCGACGCGTTGGCTGATTTACTGATTTTACAATCAAAAATATATGCAATAATTTAAGAAAGTCCACGTTTACTGGGCCCCATAATACGCGAACGAAACCATGAATAATTATTTGAAATTTAAGTTACCACATCGACTCAAATGCAACGATTGAAATTTGTTAAAAAAAATTCTGTTTTGCCCCCCATTCTTGGGGGTCGTGTACCCTGCTTTAAAAAATACTGTTCAAAAACAGTATCCTCCTACGGGATAGAGTGACCTTCAGTGGGGGAGGGGGCGTGTAACCATCGAACGGAGTCGCGAAATATAATGTTACATCTAGAACGACGTGGGTAACATTCACCGTAATGGCCAAATGAACACCATGCATGATTATTGCCCTGGGCGCCAAAATACCTAGGCTCGGTCTTGATTATACTCTTGGAGAAGAGGATGACCCATCCAACGCCCGTGGAACGTTAATGGCGGTGAAGAAACGAGGGGCAAAGTTAACGACTCTTATTCAACAACTATCCAAGTATTTCCCTCGTATCGTTTCGAGCTTGCAGAAATTCTGTTTGTTATCGCGTAGGGTGTTGCTTGAGAAGAGCTCCGGTACCAGGTAACGCTGGCTCTCCTTGTTCGACGGATTATTTCGCGGAGTTTTCCTTCCATTATTACCGTCGTCGCTGACGTTGTTGTTAACCCCCCGGAGGCACGGTGTGGGATGTTTAAAATTTATACACGTTACCGTGAACGCGAAACGATTATCCCCCCAACGGCGTGCGGTTGGCATCCGGGATGAAAGTACCGGCACGTATTTAGGAATTCCGATGCACGAGAATCCCACGTTGCGTCAGGGCTGGATGGAATTGCGAGAAGATGGCTCGTTCGGTGAACACCGGTCCAGTCCACTCCATCGTCCTCCCTGTTATCATCGTCCATGTCGGCGGTCGTTGCGTCAGGGCGCGCTAGAACCGCCGAGACCGCAGATTCTTTTTTTCTTTTTTTTTTTTATTTCTCCATTCGCGTACGACCTCCCGACGTGGATCTTTCGAAATGGTACACGATCATCCAGTGCTGACGAGGTCGTAACAAAGAAAGCAACCAACGGTTAGTCGATCGTACGCGGGGTGGAGGAGAGGGGGCGGAGGCACCGGTGCGTGTAGCCCCCCTGTCGGGAAATCATTATTCAATAACGATGTGCTAGCTTCCGCGACTCGTTGTTGCTCGTCTTCTTGGTTTCGCCTGGAATTTGTACCAAGGAGAAAGTTGATTGGAATTGTCCTTTGATTATTCTGATTACGGGAATGCGTCGAGGCACCGGGGGCACGAAATCACATTTCTCTTTGCAACGTGCACGTAACGCGCCTTGCGCGCATAACAGCAATTAGCCAGGCCATCATCAAGTGTAGACGAGAGTGTTTCTTAATCCATTATAGCTCAACCTTTTCTGGACAGGTATACAGTAATAATTCTCGCACGGTGTGGATACGATTTCATGCGTGGCCTCTTAAGTGAGTCGTTCATTACGAGACCGGTATGATTCTGTTTAAACAAAAAGTAAATCACGTTTGACGCGATTTCGTTTGTTCGTGTGTTGAGAAAAGGTAACGAGGATTATGAGATTTCGAGCTAGTGTGCGCGTACAATTGCCAGGCCGCGGGTCTGACGCAAAGGAAATCCATAATTGCGCAAACGCAAATATGGATTTAATACGACATTAATGGATTAGAGTAAAATACGCGATGTTATGAAATTTATGTTAAATCTCTGTCCTTAAACCAATAATTATTTGAACGTAAAGAATGAGACAAGATCGTTAATAAATGCGACGTTTATTCTGTATCCATTTGGAAATAACGATCTTTCGGTACCAATA